GAGACCGAGTCGAAGCTGAGTTTGAGTTAGAGTCCCACTTTGTGTCCAGGTGTGCAGTCGGCTCGTGGCTGCAAGTTATGGCACGTACTCATTCCTGTTGTTGTTGCCTGTCATGCGATCATGATTGCGATCATCATCATCATCGTCATCAGCTGTGCCTCACAACTCGCATACGGGTCGATCTTTCAGAGGGTTGCATTCACAAGACAGAGCTCTACCTCTCACACACTCTCGCTCTCGCTCTCTCTTTCTCTCACTATGATGCTGTGATTTTTGCCAGTTTGAGCAGCTAGCTGAAGTTACAGTTGAACCTTTTTTGTATCGAAATTCTAACACAAGTCGCAAATGGTCACTAATTTCATTTATCTATCTATTTATCTATCTATCTAACTGCTGGGCCATGCGCTGTCATATTTTTGTTCGTTGCTGTTCTAAACTTTTTAACGGATTTTAAAGTCAGTTGACCGTAACGCAATTGCGTCCACTTTAGTGTCCAAGTGTCGCCAGCAGTGTAGCCGAACCAGCTAGCCCGACTTGAGCCAAAGCATATTTTAATGATGACACCCGGCTAAAACAACGACCAATGCAGGAGGGGTTGGGCAGGAGAACACATGGCCATGCCACACTTTATACATTTTGTAGGTAGCTGACTGTAGGCAGGCGGCAGATATGATGGGTACATTACCGTGTGCCGCGATCTGTGAAGGCACATTCCAAAGCACACTTTGAGATACATTCGCCTAGCACACGTTACAACTGTTTGGTGTATGTGTGTTTTGATGTGTGTGTCTGCGTGTGTGCATGCCACGTATGAGCTGTGGTCTGGTTTTAAAAGTAGAAACAAAGGGAGTATATATGTAAAATATTTAAGGACTAAAACTTGGACGACACTGCAGCATAGATTTCAAATGTACAATCAAAATATATGTCATAAGAAAATTGGAAAAAAATATAAAGAAAATATTTAGTTGATATTATCAAATGGTTTACAGGATAGAATATATACTCTGTTGGTTTTATTACCAATGATAAATTTAATTTCGGTTCAATATATATAATTCATTCATTATTAATCAATAATTCTATAATAATCGGTAACAATAAAAAAACCTAATCTCTTATTTTTTATTTATTAGCAAAAAATTGTGCCAGTGATTATCTTTTATTAATTTCGATTAAAAAATATATATACATATATACTTTTTTTTTTATTTAAATTAAAATCCAGAAATATTTTGAAATACTTCTAAAATGCATATAAAATTGTAATAACTATCGAAAAATGTTTGACTATTTTTTACTTACTTGTCAAAAAAAAAAAAAAAAAAAAAAAAAAAAAAAAAAAAAAACATTTTAAAATATTTCTTGATAAAAAAAAAATTCAAATATTTTTAAAAAATCTTTCAATACATTTTCTTCTTCAAGCACCCTCTACAAAGAAATTCGTACATTCATTCATACATACATACATTCTGTGCGTCCGCCCGCTTGGCAAAGCAATGAACAAGGACACGTCGACAGGGTGTCTATAGAAATGTGTTAAGGCTGTAATTATGTGCGCTGCTGGCGTTTGATATTTCGTTATCGTACGTAGGTGGGCTACTTCATAGGGAAGTAACTTTCCTTGATCCTTACTGCTCTATCTCAACTATGAAATGGGCCATATGTTAGTTTTGAGTCGGGCTCTAAGGGTTGTTAGACGAAGAAACCGTTTGCATTAAGTGCATTGAACTTTTGATAAGATAACTAGTTAAGTACATATAATTCAGACACAATCATTAACAAATTTTTACTATGCTTTCTATATATTGCAGGAGGATCTATGATGAACGACGGAGAAAAATAATAACGCTTTGTTTGTGGTAAATCTTCGACTGAAATATTTTTGAAAATACATATATACATATATATTGATGAAAGATCTGCGAGTGCAGCGGCATTTGTGCTGCTGCTAGCCTAATATCCCAATGTTCCAAGCCCAAGTTTGATCCTTGATATACCACCATATATAATATAGGGGTGGCTCTTTACCGTTGCCTTGCAAGCTGCACGCTTGCTAAGTACAGTTGCTTTGAGGTAGAGGCGCAGGCACAGGCACAGGCACAGTCATAGGGACAGAGGGACAACAAGGAGCAGGACACACATAAGGGTGGGGTTGGACGTAGTTTTGTTGACATTGACTTGGGCAACGGGCGGGTTGGTTAGTTGCTTCGCTCAGCTCTGCTCTGCCTGGAGAGCTGCATTCCAATGCAATTAGATGGCAAACGCGACTTTGTTGTCATGGCAATGCTTTAAAACGGCGCCTCCCGTAGGGGAGGATTCGGTTCTTGGAAAACTGCATATGGCATTTATACAAATACAGACACGACTACCCTGAATGAAACCCGCTTTCTTCAACTACAGACAATGCGAGCTATTAAGCCTTGAATCGTAAAATTATATTTCTGAAGAGCTTGACAAACTTATGCGAGCTGCATTTCCATTTATCAAAATAAATATCAGATATTAAATCAAGTTTTTAAAATTATTCACTTAATTATCAAGTTTATTATTTATACGTTTTTAAATATGCTATTTATGTAGCGTTTAGTGAGCTATTAAATAAATTAATTTGCCAATAGTCTAAATATTTTATGCAAATTTCAATAATTTTTTTTTATTTTTAATAATCGTGATTTAGCTGAAAACTAGACTTTTATTACTAAACAAATTTGAGACAATTTATAATTTATTTAAATATTATTTTTTAAACATATTTTAATAATTATAAATATCTCTAGGGAAGACAAAGACATTTAGATATTGAGTAAATCTACTTATAGATACGAAACTCGAGACTAGAAACGCCCCTAAATCGGCATTATGTGCTGGCCGAAAGTTTCCCAGTTCCAAAGTTCTCTTATTGATTATTTTGTGTGCTTACGCATTCATTTCGTTGGCCGCACGCAAAAGTATCTGTGTATCTGTGTATCTGTGCATAGAAGTATCTGTAGCTGTGCCGAAAGTAAGTCAAACTTGTTTATCAGCGAACATATAACACACGTTATCTCTATTTATTGTTCACGTATATGGTAAATGATAATTGTGTGGATGAGGGAGGCAGGGCGAGGGTGATGGAATGAGGGGCAATGGAGTGTGCCACGCAGACACAAAAAGAAATCGCCAGCTAAATAAGCTCAAGTGGAGAAATTAGATAAAAACCTGTCGCTGTTTGTAAAAGGCCAAAGGGTTGTATTTAGCTGAATTAAGGACTAAGCACAACACACACACACATTTACTTAGATATACAGCTTCCAGCTACATCCCTCTGCCCGTACAGATGAGGCAAGGGCAAAGGCCAGGCGAGCAGAGCCAACCCCCAACTGTAACCAAGCACCAACCAATCAAGTGGCCACCCAAACCAAAAGCTTTTGGTGCGCCACTTTTACTTTCCATTTAAACACCCCCACTCTCACACGCAACTCCTAACCCCAACACTGCCTCCCATCCTCCCCTTGAGACCTCAGCCCTTAGGCAACCATCTCGCTCTGTTTTTCGCAATTAAATTGCTTGTTTATGTACAAATTTTTGGGTATTTTTATTTAGCAAGGTTTTTGCGACTTCATCTTTTATATTCGCAGAAACACTTTTTGAGCGCAAGCAACGATTATTCAAGACAACAACAAAAAGAAAGTCAAAATAAAAGCAAAAACTTAAAAAACAAAAATACAAAAACAAAACAAAACGAAAACGAACAAATTTCTACGCAAGTTCTCGACAAAAGAAGCCGAAAAACACTTTTGGAGAATTATATATCAAAGCGAAACCTAACGACAAACAAAATACGCAAAGGACAAGAAAAAGAACAAAAATTAAACGAAGACCTTAACAAGAAGAGAAAACGAAATCAAAACAAATTTAAACAACATTAAATGCAAAGGACATTCGCATGTGTGTGGTGGTGGAACGAAAATTCAAAACAAAATTCACAATTAGAAAACGCAGAAAAAAACGTAGAAAACGTAGACGCAAAATCAACAGCAGGAACAGCAACAGCAACAACAATTGGAACTGCAACTGCAACAAACTGTCAACAACAACGCGAACAATTTTGAATTGTAACATTTCGACAAATAAGTTGAGTGAAAGCAAAATTTCAACGTTCGGCGCATCTAAACGAAGACATCAAAAGCGAGTAAGAGGGAGAAACAGATATATAGAGCTAGCCCGTTCTAAGGATAAGCAATCAGAAGAACAGAACCAGCAGTTCGGGTCAGCTAGAAAGTTTTGAAGCATAGCAAATACACACACACAAGCGCACAGAGATACACGCACACACACATCGATAACTCGGACCTACATACAACCGGCAAGCAGAAGATAAAGTAAAAGATTACAGATCGGACCACTGAGAAGACTTAAACTTGAAATTACGCATACGCCGCCTGAGCGCAACAGCGGCGAATTACTACACTCAATTGAGGAGAGGARCAGAAGGAGAAGGAGAAGGCGACACGACAGCGCCGACAATATCGCTAACAACCAATCGAAGCCAAGGCGAAGTAATCGCTCTCGCGTTTCGCTAGCAGGAGAAGAGGCTTCCTGCATGTGTGTGCCCGACGCTGTGAGAGCGCAACTGACAGTGCTAGAGAGTAACGCGGCGAAGGCGACGGAGAGGCAACGTGGAGAGGCGAGTGCGGGCTGCTGCTGCTGTTTGGCATCATCTTATGATGTCATCAGAGGAGTACGACGCGGACTGTTTTGGTTTGTACAGCGATGAGAACGATGTGCTGCTGAAGGCGACGGCAACAACAACATCATTGGAAGCAGAAGCTGAGTGTAAGCTGCAACCCCCACAGCAGGCGAAGAGCGCAGCGATTGCCCTGCCACCACCAACAACACTGCAGCCTCTACAGGCAAGCAACGGGAACGGCAACGGCAACGGCAACGGCAACAGTCTCACAAATATACCAATACAAATAAACGGTAGCGACGACGCGGCGAATTGCGGCGAAAACGCTAGCGAAGCGGAGAAGCATTGCAAAGGCAAAGGCAGCAGCGATTCGGACGACGACGACAACGACGAGGGCGACTCTGACTCGGACGACGTCGTCGTAATCGAAGGCAACTGCAAGGCGACGACGACGACGACTGTAGCGGCGGCAGCGCCAGCCAACAGTAACCGTCGCAGTCGCAGCCGCAGTCGCAGTCGCAGTCGTAGTAGTCGCCGCAACGCACACAAACGACAAATCAGTCAGTCAACGGCCGTCGACAAGACAACAACGTGCGCGGCTAAAAAACCAGTGACTACAGCACCGACAGCAACCAAAGTTGCCAACAATTGTAGTAACAGTAACAACAACACGAACTCGACATCGACAGCGAGCTTAGTGAGAAATCGTCGCACGCGCACGCGATCCTTGAGCAAAGACAGCAGCAATATCAGTAACAGTAATAGTAATTTAAACAGTAACAGTGTTGGTAATAGTGTTAACAATAATAGCTGCAGCAACGGCGGCGCAACGGCAACCGCTGCCTTCATGAGTAGCGCTGCTGCGGCTACTGCGGGTGCCGCTGGTGGTGCACTCTACACTAACAACAGCAACAACAATAACAGCAACACAAACAACTCGAACCCAAGTCCAATYGCAACAACAATTGCCACACCAGCAACAACAACATCAGCTACAGCTTTATCCGGCTGCAGTTCGCCGGGCTCCGTGAACTCCGCTTCATCGCTGCTGACGGCAGCCTTTGGCAATCTCTTTGGCGGCTCCTCGGCGAAAATGTTAAACGAGCTGTTCGGGCGGCAAATGAAGCAGGCACAGGATGCCACCAGTGGGCTGCCACAGACTCTGGACAATGCAATGTTGGCAGCAGCCATGGAGACGGCCACCAGTGCCGAGCTGCTAAGTGCGGCCGGGCTGGTCAACAGTCTCAATACCAGTAAATTGCTCAATAACAACAACAATAACAACAACAACATACCGCTCAGCAATGGCAGCAATATCAATGCCTCGATATCGCCAGGATCGGCGCATTCCTCGACGCCCAAAGGCGGCAACAGTCGCCGTGTGTCGAACAGCAGCGATCGATCGCTGGATGGAAATMTTGGGGCAGCGGCAGCAGCAGCAGCATCTGATGTTGCTGGTGGCTCGCCGCCGCGTGCTGCTTCGGTGAGTTCGTTGAACGGTGGCGCCAACAACACGCACGAGCAACAGCAGCAGCAGCAGCAGTTGCAGCACGATTTGGTTGCACATCACATGCTGCGAAATATATTGCAGGGCAAAAAGGAGCTGATGCAGCTCGATCAGGAGCTGCGCACTGCTATGCAACAGCAGCAGCAGCAACAACAGCAGCAACAGCAGGAGAAGCAACAACAGGAACTCCACTCCAAGCTCAACAACAATACCACCAACAACAACAATAACAACAACAACAACAATGTTGTCTCTGAGAGCATCAACCTGATCGAGGACTGTGAAATGCCAGAGATCAAAATCAAAAGTGAGCCCGAGCTGATGGGCACGCATGCAACAACACATGCGCCACACTCGCCACACGGCGGCAGCAGCCACAGCCACAGCAGCAGCAGCAGCAGCAACAGCCACAACAGCAGCAGCAACAGCATCGCCAGCAATGGCAGCCTGCGACGCAAGTCCTCCGATTCCCTGGACAGCATGCAGCGCGAGGAGCGTGCCACGCCTGCAGCGGTGGCCGAGTCACAGCTGCAGAATGAAGTGCTGCCCACCAAAAAGGAGACCGTGGAGGATATGCTCGAGGAGGTGGAGCTGCTGGGCCTGAGTGGGCATGGCCATTCGCGCAACTCGGATCTGGAGTCGCTGTCGTCGCCCAGCCACTCGGACATGATGCTGCTGGCAAACAGCAAGGACGAGGTGCTGGACAACGACGACATCATCGAGGACGACGAGGACGACGAGGATGATGACGACGATTGCATTGAGACCAAACGGGACGCCAACAGCAGCTCCACCTGTCTGAAGAAACCGGGCATGGAGCTGAAGCGCGCACGCGTCGAGAACATCGTGTCCAGCATGCGATGCAGTCCCTCCTCGGTCACGGCGCAGGCCGGCCAGCTGCAGGTGAATGGCTGCAAGAAGCGCAAGCTTTACCAGCCCCAGCAGCATGCCATGGAACGCTATGTGGCCGCTGCGGCGGGCCTCAACTTCGGACTCAATCTGCAGAGCATGATGCTCGACCAGGAGGACAGTGAGTCCAACGAGCTGGAGTCGCCGCAGATCCAACAGAAGCGCGTCGAGAAGAATGCGCTCAAGTCGCAGCTGCGCTCCATGCAGGAGCAGCTGGCCGAGATGCAGCAGAAGTACGTGCAGCTGTGCACGCGCATGGAGCAGGAGTCAGAGTGCCAGGAGCTGGACAATGACAATGAACAGGACATGGAAAGCATGGAGCAGGAGCATGAGCAAGAGCAGGAACAGGAGCCGGAGCCAGAGCAGGAGCCGCAACAAAACGATGACATCGATCTCTCCCATTCGCCCACGCTCAGCGAGTCGACGCCCAAGGATTCAGTGGAGCGGGCTGGCTCCAGTTCGCCCACGCTGAAGCCGCAGAGCAACAGCAGCAACAAGAGCAGCAGCGACAATACCGCCGTCACCACGCCCAACATGCTCACCCAGATGATGAGCAAAATGATGTCCGGCAAGCTGCAGCAGCACAATCCCCTAGTGGGTGTGCCGCACCCTGCGCTGCCGCAAGGCTTTCCGCCTCTGCTGCAACACATGGGCGACATGTCGCATGCCGCTGCAATGTACCAACAGTTCTTCTTCGAGCAGGAGGCGCGCATGGCCAAAGAGGCTGCCGAGCAGCAGCAGCAGCAACAGCAACAGCAACAGCAGCAACAACAGCAGCAGCAGCAACAGCAGCAACAACAACAGGCGCAACAAGAGCAGCAACGTCGCTTTGAGCAGGAGCAGGARCAGCAGCGACGCAAGGAGGAGCAGCAGCAGCAGATTCAGCGCCAACAGCAACATCTGCAACAGTTGCAACAACAGCAGCAGCTCGAGCAACATGTTGCCGCTGCCACACCACGCGTCCAGCTCCATCCACCCGCTCGCTTGCCTACGCGCATGGGTGGCGCCGCTGCCGCACACAGCGCACTGAAGTCCGAGCTGTCCGAGAAGTTCCAAATGCTGCGTCAGCAGAGCAGCAACAACAACAGCAGCAGCAATAGCTCGATGATGCGCATGTCCGGCACCGATCTGGAGGGCCTGGCCGATGTGCTCAAGTCGGAGATAACGACATCGCTGTCCGCCCTGGTGGATACGATTGTCACTCGGTTCGTGCACCAGCGGCGCCTCTTCAGCAAGCAGGCGGACTCGGTGACCGCAGCTGCCGAGCAGCTCAACAAGGATCTGATGCTGGCCTCCCAGATACTCGATCGCAAGTCGCCGCGCACCAAGGTCGTCGCGGATCGCGGCCACGGCGGCAGCAGCAGCAACGCCARCTCGGGCGCCCAGAGCGGATCGGCATCGGCCATACAATCAGGTAACAATAACGCCTCACTACTACTAGCTAATAGTCAGCAGCAAGCGAGTCAGGGTCAGGGCAACAGCAGCAGCAGCACCAGCAGCAGCACTGTCAGTCAACAGCAGCAGCAGCAACTTGCACAGCAACAGCAGCAGCAGCAACAGGCCGCACAACAACAGCACCAACAGCAGCAACAGCAACAGCAGCCTCTCAATCAATCGCAAGTGATGTCTGCAATGGCAGCTGCACAGCAGCAATTGCCCAATTGCCAGCAACTGATTGCTGCGCCCCGTCTCAATGGCAATCAATTGTCGTTTGCCTCACCCGCGGCCGCTGCTGCCGCCGCCATGGGCCTGCAAATGCATCATGCTGCCGCCGCGGCTGCCATGCAGCAGCAGCAACAGCAGCAGCAACAGGCGAGCGATGTGGCTGTTGCTGGAAGCAATGCGGTCAATAGTGTTAATCAATCGAATGCAACTAACAATAGCTTAAGTTCACTTAATATACCACCACCTCACATACGTCCCTCGCCCACAGCAGCGGCCATGTTTCAGGCGCCCAAAACGCCGCAAGGCATGAATCCGGTAGCTGCGGCAGCGCTCTACAATTCGATGGCAAGTCCCTTCTGCCTGCCGCCCGATCAACAGCAGCAGCAGCAACAGCAACAGCAGCAGCAGCAGGCCGCACAGCAGCAGCAACAGCAACAGCAGCAGCAGCAAACCGCCCAACAGACGCAACAGCAGCTGGAGCAGAACGAGGCATTGAGCCTGGTGGTGACACCGAAGAAGAAGCGTCATAAGGTGACCGATACACGCATTACTCCGCGCACCGTCAGCCGGATTCTGGCTCAGGATGGCGTTGTGCCGCCCAGTGGACAGGCAGCGGCCGCAGCAGCAGCAGTTGCTGCCGTACAACAGCAACAACAGCAGCAGCAGCAGCAGCAACAGCAGCAACAGCAGCAGCAGCAGCAGGGTAACAACGGCAGCAGCAACAACAACAATGCCACGCCCGCACAGAGCCCAACGGGCCGCGGTCAATCCTCTGGCACGTACCACCCGCCTCCACCACCACCACCACCCATGATGCCAGTGTCCTTGCCCACATCGGTGGCCATACCAAATCCATCGCTACACGAATCCAAGGTCTTTTCGCCGTACAGTCCATTCTTTAATCCGCATGCGGCGCCGGGTCCACACGGTCCGCCACATGGGGGCCAGCCCACCGCTGCACAAATGCACCACCAGCACCACCATCAGATGCAGCTCTCATCGAGTCCGCCCGGCAGCCTTGGCGCTCTAATGGACTCGCGCGACTCACCGCCACTGCCACATCCGCCAACGATGCTACATCCCGCTCTACTGGCAGCCGCCCACCATGGCGGCTCGCCGGACTACAAGACCTGCCTGCGAGCCGTCATGGACGCCCAGGATCGGCAGTCCGAGTGCAACTCGGCCGACATGACATTCGATGGCATGCAGCCTACTATATCCTTTTTAAAACAACAACTACAGCAGCACGAGCAGCTGCCCGGAGAGCATTCAATGCTAATGGTCAAGTGAGTTTACCCCCAGTCCAGTCCATGGTCCAACAGTGCCAAGTGGTGCAGCGGGTGCAAGTAGGGACTTAAGTGCATTTACCTGAACGGAAACCCAAAGGGGCCTTGCTTACAAAACGAAACCAATCAAGTGTCTTCTTCAGTTTATTTATTTACCCATTTCAACTAAATTCTTTTATAAAATGTAATCAAAACCTTATTTATTGCCATTGCAATGCTCCTCCCTCCCCCTCCCCCTCCCCCAGCGGCAGTCAAGCCACCCAAAAACACAGCCAACGAGCAGCCAGCCCTCAAGTCATCATCGTGGTCGACGTCGTCTCGGTCTCGACCGCCTCTTGGCTTGAGTTGCATTTGCAATCGCAGCAACAGCAACAGCAACGGCAACGGCAATCAGAAAAATCAATGCTCAATCGGCGCAGCCAATTGCAATGTGCTCCAAGTGTTGCTACCCCCGCCCCTGCGGCCCACTAAGCAGACCTGAATTCATGCTCGAAATACCCTTACCTCTGGCTCATAAGAGTTTCTAGTTGCCTTCAACTATTCACATTACATGGCTTTGGCTATTTCAGCTCTATATCTTATAACAAGGAAGCTGGGATAGCAAAAGATTATCAATGTATATAGGCAAGTCATAGTTCATTTCCATTTCCATTTCCATTTCAATATATACGCAACCACTTTGAAAGTAGAGCATTCAGGATTCGTGGCATACTCTGTCGCTCGTCAATTTTTCTCATTCTCGCAGTTGTTTTTCAATCAAGCCAACGCCAAGTGGCAAAGCTCTGCAAAGACCCTGCCACCACTACCGGGGCACACTATTCGCCCTTAGACGTTCATTATTGGCATTTATTGCTGGCTTTGCAACACTCGAGAGGGCAACGGCGAAAGGCGAACCTTAGAGCCCCTCCGCTCCGCTACTTGGCACTGACATGGCAATTTCTTTGGGAGCAAACTGCATTGACTATATCTATATCTATATCTATATACCCCCAATATGTATCCACACATGTACTTGAACAAATTTAGCAATCATTGTGAATCCTTAACTCCTCTGCACTCTTCAACATTGACACCGATGCACCTGCGCAAGGCCAAGCTGATGTTCTTCTGGGTGCGCTATCCCAGCTCGGCGGTGCTCAAGATGTACTTCCCGGACATCAAGTTTAACAAGAACAACACAGCACAATTGGTGAAATGGTTCTCGAACTTCCGGTAAGTTGCACACGCCTCCACAGCACGCCCTCTACTTAACTATATACCTATATACATATATATATAACTGTATCTGTCTCTATTGTGTAACTCTTACTCAAGCAGCATTCATTTTTATGATTTCATTTGTGTTATTCCGTTAGCGTATATTATTAGAACATTTGTAAATCTGTCAGGCACTTCAACAAAAATTCCAAATTCAATTCGATTGCCAACTGTCGAATCCTTGACTTGCACTCAAGAAATCGCACAACTGACGCCTCGGCGCATGCAATGCAACGAAGCCCCAGCCATCGCGCAGCCCCTCCGGTAGAATTGTTTGGCATTTGCAATCCATTTGACTGTCAGACCTATCTATGGGCGCAAGAAGTTGCCAAAAATAATATACATATATATATATGTATGTATATATCTATGCATCGGTAAACGACAGCTGGCAAAGACTTTTGAGCACGGATCCTGCAGCTCTGCAGCTCTGCAGTTCGCTTTTCGCGCCAAATGCGAGGCACATCTGCAGCTAACCACGCGACAATACAATAGTTCACCTGGATTTTGATTTCAGCCCCTAACAAAACACACACATTCACAGACACTCACACAGACAGACACACTTGGCTTAGCAGCTGTCCCTTGTTGTTGCTCGTGCTTAGCCAACTACCCCCTACCCCTAGCTCCTGCCCCGATTTGCTTTAAGACATGCGCAACGTCTTAAGAAATTCGCCTCRATTCTTACCTGCGCACTGAGAAATCGTGGCACGGGTTTTTCCCTCATTCGTCCTTTACGAATTCTTTTGTTTGTCCTGGGTAGTTTCTTAAGGGTTGCTGCCCCAAAGAAATCTCCTATGACTGAAGGCGACTTTGCATGGGAATTTCATTTGGCGTATCTTATCCCTTTCTATTCTCTATTTCTTTTGCGACTTCAACTTTCGACTGCTGAGGTTAAAATGGGTGGGAATATTTTTGTTGATGTCGTTGGCTTGCTTCGGTTTCTTTTCCTTTCCGTTTCCATTTCCCAGTGCTTTATGCTTAGGGGTAGGTCGGCTCAGTTAGTAACGGTTCCTTGTTTTTTTTTTTTTTTTATTATTTCTCAATTACTTAACTCAACTTATTTTGCATTTTTATTTTCTCTTCTTTTTTATCTCGTGTAATTTTGTTTCGTTTTTAATATGGGAAGTCAAGGAAATTAGCACTCAATCTCTTGCACAGTTCACAACAGTTGAACATTATGAGTTTCCCACACACACACACACGCACACACACATACACATACATCAGACACATTAGAGGACTAATAACATGTTGCATGCCACTTTCAGTGGCCACTTAAGAAAATGCAAAAGGGTCCGTTGATAGTCCTGGCCAAGGATGCTCGAGCATTTTTCCATTTTCGCATGTTTGAAGTGTGAAAGAAAGTTGCAGCGGCTGCTGCTTTATTAAAAAAGAATGCGCCCCCTCAATTTTAGAGACGGGGCGGGGGCGGGCCGGAGCGGATGGTTTGGGGCAAGTGTTGGCATTTCTTGCCACTCTTTTTCGCCTTTGTGCGGGCTAATTAGGAAAAGTGGCTTTTGTATTTGTATGGCACTTATATAATTGCATTATCTGCCTTCACTCTTATGGCAAATGCAAATAATGAAAAGAAAGCAGCCAAAGGACCATGCATGTCCACACACACACACACACACACATACAGACAGACTCACCCACATGGTGGGGAGGCGGGCTAATTAGTTTGTTTGACTGACTGCCAGTTAGGGGCAAGTGCAGCAGGAGCTCGTTTCTTTGGCTGGCGCGCATTTGTTGAGGGCGGGGGGCGGGGCAGCTACTTGAGAGTCGCGCCTGGAGAGACGCGCATAATGGCCACCCAGCCCTCAACTGGCAAAAGGCGCTCAAGGATATGCAAGGAACTCACACACACTCACACACACACACATGTGACTTTCTATGTGTTTTTTGTGTTTGCTTTTTTTTTTCTTTTTTGTTTGTTTTTGTTTTCTGTTTTTGAGTTTTGTTTCTCCATGAAGCATTTTTGAGGTTAAGTGTCCTTTTGGCGCTTAGTACAGGCAACCCCAACCCCGGCCAGGCAGCCAGCCACCTGAAAAGATCTTGCTGAATTAATAAAAAAATAAAAATAAAAACCAAAAAAAAAGGAAAATATCATGAAATGAACAGCAACAACAACAGCAGCAAACAAAATACATAAATGTATATACATACACACATAGACATACACACACAGACACTCACACACATACTCACACACGCACACATATTTCAGTATATATATAACGATGCTTACATATTTATACATATTTATGTATGTATGTATATATAAAGTGTTGCCAATTACTTCATTAGTGTATGAGGTAGAGATGTCTGCATATGTGTGGGTGAGTATGTGTGAGCTTATTAATGTACTTATTCTCTATTCATACCATAAGTGAATGGCACTTCTGAAGAAAGCAAAGAAGTAGCAAAGAAGCAGACTTGACACACACACGCATACACACATACACACAGACACAGGCGCAGCCTCTCCCCTCCAAACACACGCATACATAGAGACACGCACATACTAATGCAGTTTCTAGTGTGTCGCTGGCTAGCTGCAAAGTGGGCGTGTGCCACGCCCAAATATGAATTGTAAATAGGCTACGAAAATTATATAAACTAATTAGTTAAAGCAGCGACTGCACATCCGTTGGCGCCATTTTGTGTGCAGCATGTGAGTGAGTGAGTGTGTGAGAGTGTGTGTGTGTGTGGGTGTGTTTGGAAGCGTATTATCTAAATTAAGTGGCGCAGCGCACACACTTATGGCAGGCAGTTAGCTAAACTTCCTTTTCCTGGCACCCAACACTTGATGCGGCATTTGAATGCCAGCCTCAAGCCAAACAGCAGCAGCAGCAGCAGCAGCAGCAAAAGCAAAAGCAACAAAAACATGTGAGAACCCAAAGCTAATTGCATTATCGCACACACAAAATATTGTTCCTTTCACCACACGGGGCTACAAGTAGGCAAAGCTTTGTTGCCAAACGCCTAATAACTATAGGCACCCGGCCCGGAGCGCCCTAGCCACAGTTTTCAGATATTGTTGCAAGCCTTAACAAAGGCTCACACTGACACGCACACACACACACACACACACAAAGACTGAGGTGGGGACAGATATTCTGTCGCAATTTGTACCGTTGGCTTCTTGCGTTTGCCTCATCTCTGCTCATTATGGGCATCGGTCCATTGTAGGGAAAGCTTCGCATTTGCTGTTCAAGTGCGCGTGGCAGCCGCCTCCGGGGAGCTCCTCGTGGCTTGACAGGCTTCGTTCTCATTCTCGTGCTCGTTCTCAATAAAATGACTCTGGCAAAGACATCTAGCCCCGTGCCGCAATCTGGTTCTATTTGCGCAATTCGCGCTTATTGTTTGGAAAAATCAACAGAGAAATCAGCCAGAGACATGCACAGAGAAATGCATTTGGCTGCAACTGCTGGGAAATCTTGAAATTAGCGCGATTATCGGAGCGTTGTCAAGTGGGCGGCAGCAACAAATGTAGCACAGACGACTGAGGGCTGGGGGTAGAGCGAGGACTTTTCATTAGAAAAAGACAAGCAATCACTTACACACACACACACACACACACACTCACACACATATACATAGAGGCGGCAGTTGCTACGGCCCCGGACACAAATCACTTGACTAAACAAGGCGGCGACACAGCAGCCAACACGAGGAGCATAAACAGCACCACTGAGGCACCGCTGCACTTGCTAATTAAGTCCCCAACCACTAGACAATTGGCAGGCAGGCGGGCAAGGGACGGGCAAGGGGCGGCCAGGCGAACAGTTAGGCATTGGCCCACCCAGGGGGGAAGCTAACCGCAAGCAGAAGAAGACGCTGCCCGTTTACTTGCACGTTCGGCGCCAGCATATATATGTAGATTAATATATATATGTATGCATGTGTCTGTGTGCAGTACTGCAGCCAGCAGCCCTCAGCGCTGTCGTTGCACATTTGAGATTTATTAAAAATTCTTTACAACAAAGAAGCACAAAAATCACACCCACACACACACACACACACACAGAGAGAGAGAGACAAAGTCGAGGCTTTTAGGGTAGAACAGAATGGCGCGCCTAAGAGTATGCTGCAAATTTATTAATAATGTCATATTGCAAAGTCGATCCAATATAATGCATTAAGCCCATGCAGGCAAGAGGCAGTCGGTATAGGCTTAGCATCAGACAGAATGGAACAGCAAACGTATGAGTGCAAGCCAGTAGGAAATCTTTCCTTCTTTGTTTTGTTTTTCGTTTGGGGTGAATGCATGAGAAAAGTCTTTGCTTATGAATTCGACTTTGGTTGTTTTTTACTTTCTCGTTGACTGTTTCTGTTTTGTTTCGTTTATCTTACTGTATCCTCTTTCTATGATTTCTTACAACTTTTACTATGATTTCGTAAATTTGAATGCTGTTTCAAAAACCAAAAAAAAATAAAAATCAATTTTAAACCAAACAAAAACAAAAAATCAAAACAAAGTATAGCTATTTAGTATACTGACCGAAACCAAACATATTCCTCATCTACGCATCTGCAGAGAATTCTACTACATACAAATGGAGAAATATGCACGACAAGCTGTCACTGAAGGCATCAAGACACCCGATGATCTGTTGATTGCTGGAGATAGTGAATTATATCGCGTGCTCAATTTGCACTACAATCGCAATAATCACATTGAGGTATGCAACAAAGTACACACATATATACACACCTACACTAACAAACAGAGCTGTAAATACTTTGAATTACCAAACATTTATTGCAAGTAATTAAATAAGATTTTGAGTATCCATTGAAGTAATTAAAGCTCTGTTAACAATACACTACACTACAATAATACACTAACACACACTGACGATCAGAGAGCTGTAAATACTTTCAATTACACTAAAGTAATTAAAGTAATGAAATGGTAATTTCTTTCTTATTGCAATAAATTAAAGTTTTCTCTTTTGCTATGGTAATTAAGTAGTTAAAGCTCTGTTGTCAATTACACACACACACACATGTACACACACATGTACACACACACACACACACACACATTGTTTCGCTGCCGTTTGACCTTTTTGCTAATTATCGTTATCGTTCGTCCTTCGCCATCGACCACGCCCACAGGTACCCCAAAATTTTCGCTTTGTGGTCGAACAGACACTGCGTGAATTTTTCCGTGCAATACAGGGTGGCAAAGACACCGAGCAATCGTGGAAGAAATCCATATACAAAATAATCTCACGCATGGACGATCCCGTGCCCGAGTACTTCAAGTCGCCGAATTTTTTAGAGCAGCTGGAATAAGTGGAGGAGTTGGCTATGCCAACGATGCCACCACCTCTCGATCATTCTACGAACCCTGCTACAACAACAACAACATCAGCTACTACAACACTAACAGCTACAACAAGAACTACTGCAACAACAGCAATGCCGAAAGCGAAGCGAAGACAAAAGTTAAAAAGTTAAATCTACGTAAGAAATACAACTGGATATAATGCAAAGTATCATTGTATTATTGAACAAACAACAACAACAACAATAACAAGAGGCAACACACATTTACATAAGTAATCGCAATATTTAGGCCTCTCGTCGAAATTTTAAGGTAGAAACACAAACAACTTAAAGAAAAACAAACAAAAAATCGAATTAGAGCCGTAAAATTTTATTTGTAAATTTCGAAAATGCTGTCGCCGCTCCCTGGTAACATAACAAAAATACAATTTTAGCCGCAATTCGTATTAGGTTCGACACATTCACACACCCACA